GCGTACGATATTGAGGGAATTTCCAAGCCTCTTGACTGGATCAACATTATGACATACGATTTGCACGGTACCTGGGAATCAAAAACTGGTCATCACACAGCAATGGGACCAGAAGGAGACAAGCTTACCTTACCATTTGCCATTTGGTATTGGATGAACAACAGAGACACATGGGAAAAGCCTGGTATTAGAAAAGGAATGCCTGCCAATAAAATCGTTCTTGGACTCGCCACTTACGGACGCGCATTCGGACTCGCTAGTCCTGCTAAAAACGGTCTGGATGCAGCTCGAGATTATCAATTCACACCCAAAGGTCAAYACACGGGCGCAGAAGGATTCCTTGCCTATTTTGAGATCTGTAAACTTGGGCTCACTGTTGTCCATAAAAACAAAGCCATGGCACCCTATGGCTACAAAGACAAGACGTGGATTGGTTTTGATGATCAACAAAGCTTGATCTACAAGATTGACAACGTGGTCAAGAAGAACTCTCTACGGGGTGTCATGTTCTGGGCGATCGACTTGGACGACTTCTCAGGTCAGCACTGTGGTCAAGGAAAGTATCCATTGATGAATGCARTCAAAAAATACCTGACATCTGGTGTACAACCTACATTCCCCGCAACACCTCCTCCACCAGCGACAACCCAAGCTCCACCAATTTCTACCCAGTCACCACCAGCACCAGGAACAACTCAAGCTCCCCCTCCAGTCACTACACAGGGTCCTGCACCTACCACTTCAGGAGGTGGAACCTCCGGTGGATGTAAGGCTACTGGTGCTTGGACTGGCAATGCTAACATGGATGCTTGGTGCAAGGCAAACTGTGCGGCTGGTTATTGTCCACCTGAAAACTGTGTCTGTACTTAAGAGGAACAATAAATTAGATGGATGTGAAAAAGCGAAAGACGAAAAGCTAAATAAAGTTGAATAAAAGCAGGAAAAATATTGTCTGTTTTCTTGATGAAGTGATTTTTATCCGAGTTGGCCATTTGTAAGACATAACTTCGTGTGAAGGTTATTGGGAGAGAAACATTCCGATTTCTCTTATACTTGTGCTGCATTACTAATATCATACCCCAAAACAAAATTCAATGGCCTTTTTCCCTTATAAAATAGAGTGAAGTCAATAAACCCATGAAATATATATTTGACTAATACTGAAGAAAAAGAAAACGCATGCGCGTGCTATGTGCAATTATAGAGCACGAGGGGACTGACAGAACAAGAGAGAAGTGTTAGGAGAAGACGACGCATAGCGGAGTGCCTTCTCGACACTTCTCGAGTGTTCTACCAATCCCCTAGTGCTTTATAACTACTCACAGCACAACAAACAAGTTTTTTATTTGTTTTAATAAATACAAATTATCACAACCTTACAACAACTTTACAACAACTTTAGATAGGAATGATGCACTGAAAGTGTGCAGGTGTACCAGCAGCTTTCACCAAGAAATCGAAAAAAAATTTGTATTAGGAATTTGAAAGCAATATCCAAAGCTGAAAACATTTTTCTCGATAGCAGTAATAGTTGTCGAGTAAGAGAACGTTGATAATGACCCGTCGAGCCCTCCCATAGGCCTTATTACCGGGATACCTGTGATTAAAATGTCTTCGTTTTTAGCTCGTGAAGAGCTATTAGGGTGGCTAGATTTCGCATTTTTCGGATAACGCTTCTCATCCAATCGTTTTGGAAAATTCCCGTAACCATGGAATCCATTGTATTCCCCAAGTGACGTCACTGGAAGAATCCAACGCAAGTTGTTTGCAGAGGAAGCCATTTTGTATTTTCGATCACTTCATAATCAGCAGCATATTTTGAGTATTCTTAGTTTACTTTATGCCTTTTTTGATTGGACCTTGAGATATGACATTATCGTATTTATCATTACGTTGGAAGAAGAATCCGAAAACAACCTGGTTTGTCATATATTGGATCGATTAGACTCGGTCTAGATAATCTCAATTGTAGAAACATTTCGTAACCAGAAATCTGAAAAGAAAGGATTCTAGCCAATCAGAAGCCAATAATTTAATTGATAAAGATAACAGTTTGTTTGCACAAATCGGGTCACACTACACTCATTGAAATGAGTCACCAAGTGTCATTTGTTATCATCTTAGTTCATTAGTACTCGAAAAGCTTCACGAGCTTACCATGGGTTTACTTTCGATTTATTCCTGATTCCTCCGTGACAATAGGGATCTTGATTGATTCAGCCTTTGATACCATGGCAACGCGTTGTATACGCAAAATCACATGAATTATCACCCTTATCACGAGGTGTTTAAGTAAGAGTTGATTACCGAGAACGGACGCAATAAGCCATATACATCCCGAGGGCCGCAGGCCCGAGGGATGTATAGGCTTATTGCCGACGTTCGAGGTAATTAGTTATTTTATTTATCGATTGAGAAGGGGTTAATAACTACATATTGACCTCGCATTTATAATGAAGGTTATAACAAAAATAAAGCCTTGTGAATAACAAAGAAAACCGTGTCAATTGAGAAACAACTTAGAAAACTCTCTCCGCCGGCCATTTTGTGATTTACTTTGTGGCTAGTTGTTATTTTGGATCATTCCCTGCTGAGAAAATGACTGGGTCGAAAACGCCTGCCATTTTGGGAATGGCTAAGATACCTTATCTGGCGCTTCATTGTGAAGCTTACGTTCTAGATCTTGCACAATTTACTCGCTACAGAGTTCAAATTAAATTCAAAGACGAGCAAAAAACCAATTAGCCAACAAGTAATTATATGTTCGCTAACCCTTGCAAAAGAGCCTATCAATTGCGAAAATCGACAGAACTGAATGAAGACCAGTTAAAAATAAAAAAATAAAAAAATTAACGAATGTGCATATTATATAAACCCTAAATCGACCGTATTAAAACAATCTGCTTCAATAAACAATCAGTAATTTATAGACCCGGCGAATAAAGACAAGCTGATTTATATTTCTAATGCAATTTGTAGCAAAGCTTTGCTTATTATCTTGACAAGTAAATGAGTATTTCCAGAGTGAAATACATTTATTTCTTTAGTGGAGTACAGTTTCATGACAGCGGGCAAGTTCACAGAGAGCCCCAGGGAGCCCGGCTTGGTGATGCTAAATCGGTGAAACGATCACGTTTTATAGCGGAGCTGGAGTGCGGGCCACCATACTTAAGAAAAAATGGTAAACCATCGAGCTGATTTTTCATGGCTTGGCTGACGTCACTTCCGTCCGTACGTCCGTCCGTCCGTGTACACAACACAGGAATCCAGCTTGATGTAAAAGCAAAACTAGTCACAAATGCGGCTCTCAAATGCA